CACTATCATGAACCCCATTTCGACGACCTCGAATATACGAAATTTGACTAGCATGGTCATGAAGGCGAACACATACTTGTTTTTTTTTTGTCCCCTACAATTGTCGGCCTGCACCCGCAACTTCGGCGGGAGCGCCCCCTCGCGTGCCTGAACATCTCTCAACACTTTGGCGATCGAGGTGACGACCGAGTTTGAGCTGTGGGAAAGGTACGGAAACCACGTGTGGACAATGAGCGATGGTGTCCTACCGTGTCAGATTATCCCAGTAAGATTTGTTTTCATCATCGTGTTACTCGACATTTCTTTTGACAAATGCCTTCTCGATGCGTAGGGTATCGTTGTTTTCGCTTGATCCATTCCATCGATGATGGTACACAGACTCTCTTTCGGCCTGAGCTTTGAATCAGCGGACCACACACTGTACTGTTTCCGGTGTGCCGACTGTCGCTCAAGATGACTTTTCTGTTTTGCGACAAGCGCCCTCCTCAGCTCGGGCAGAGCACCCTCTATGAGGATGCTATTCTTAATGCACTCGTTGCATCTCGCGTGGTCGGTCACCCTTGCGAGACGAACGTGCCAGAAGAAGTCCCTCCACATCTTGCAGAAAACCTGGTATGACGCGCAACAGACTCCAAGCTTAGATAGTCGTGTACGAATACTGAGGAAGACGTCTTTCTTTGTGGCGAACACCGACAGGAGCCGAATGCGGTTTCTGATCTCGAAGTTCGGGTCAGTCTCAGTCTGATCTGGCATGGGATCAGACTCGTCCAAGATGATGTCCTCGAACGCAGACGATGTAATGGCGTAGGTCGCCGTTGTCCGCGGACGACCTTCATGGCCATGAACAGCGTCGACGGTTCCGTCATCGAGGTCATCGATGTATCTTTTGTATGTGTTCCTACCGACGCCAAGTATGAGACACCATGCAGTGACGCAGATCGGGTGCAACTGCACTATCGGTTTGACTGTGGGCTTACGGTCAACTAACGAAATAAAATTCTGTAGTTTCGTCGTCCACCACTTCCGTCTTTCCTGCCCTCTGAGAGCACGGTAGTCACGTCTACATTTCATAACGTCCTGCACTCTAAGTTTAGAAAGACAGCGAAATGTTTTGCAACATGTTTTGCGGAGGACGGCCTTGCACTCGTCGACGCTACATCTACGTTCGAAAGTGGAGCTGGATGCTGAAGAACTTCTTTTTCTGAGTCTGTATATGTATTTTTTCTTTCCTTTTTCACCGCACAACATAGACAAGGCAGATATCCCGGTGTCTTCTCCGACTGGCAAGTCGATGTCCGATGAACGAGCAGCACGACCTACCCCCCCTTCACTGCCTTCGCACGACGGCAACGAAAGCATGTCCATCGGGACATAACGATCGTCAGTGCGAGTTGCCGGTGGCGAATGTCCACGAAGCGAAAGATCAAGAGACCCACACGCCGGTCCTACGCCGTCATCAGAAGGCAAGACGCCGATGTTGTTGATGATGTCGTCAAGACGAAGACGCCTCACGACGTTGACATTGGCAGATGGCGCAGCCCGGTCTCTGAATTGGCGTCCGAGCATACGAGCAACACGGTGTGCACGATGACCATGTTTCGATGGTGTGACGACAATGTCTGGGGACCGGCTCTCGCAGGAGTTCTCAGGAGCATCGGGCGAGCGGGTGTGAAAAGACTGCACAGATGGAAGCGAACTGTAGCAACACATGTCCATCCCGCCTGCCATCGAATCGCTAACATAAATGGGAACGGCCTGCGAGAGGACACAACAGAACAAAAAAATCGAGAACAGAAAGACACATGAGAAGGGAAGCCGGTCCCCCCCTCACTACCCATCTCAAGAAGTCCAGACCATCTACCGATTCAGAGGGACCCGTGGACCCAGAACGCCAGAACGCGCCAACGAGAGGGAGAGGGGGAGAGAGAGTGAGAGAGAGAGAGAGAGAGAGAGAGAGGGCGAGAGAGAGAGAGAGAGAGAGAGAGAGAGAGAGAGAGAGAGAGAGAGAGAGAGAGAGAGAGAGAGGTGGCAAGACATAAACCCTCCCTCTCCGCAGCACGAAGGGGTTCCAGCGTTACGGGAACGCCGGAACCCCTTAATGTTGTTGCCATCGAAGGGGCGGAACGGACCCCATTCCTCGCTTACAACATCAAGGTGTTGTGGGCATCGAGGGGGTGGGACGGACCCCCTTCATCCCGTGCACCACCAAAGGGGTCCGGCGTTCTCGGAATGCCGGACCCCCTTGCCGGTGCGAGCATCGAGGGGGTGGGACGAAACCCCTTCTCCCACGCAGCACCTAGGGGGTCCCGGAACGCCGGACCCCCCTTGGCGCAGCGAGCACCGAGGGCGTGGGACCGACCGCGCTCCCCCCCCGCAGCACCCAGGGGGTCCGGCGTTCCAGGAACGCCGGACTCCCTTGGTGCTGCGGGCCTCGAGGGGGTGGGACGGACCCCCTCCCTCCCCCGCAGCACCTAGGGGGTGGGACGGATCCCCTTGGTGTTGCGGGCATCGAGGGGGAGGGACGGGACCCCTCCTCCCCTGCAGCACGTAGGGGGTCTGGCGTTCCGGGAACGCCAGACCCTCTTGGCGCTACGGGCACCGAGGGCGTGGGACGGACCGCGCTCCTCCCCCGCAGCACCCAGAACGCCGGACCCCCTTGGTGTTGCGGGCATCGAGGGGGTGCGACGGACCCCCTCCCTCCCCCGCAGCACCTAGGGAGTGGGACGGACCCCCTTGGTGCTGCGGGCATGGAAAGGGAGGGACGGAACCCCTCCTCCCCCGCAACACCTAGGGGGTCCGACGCTCCGGGAACGCCGGACCCCCTTAGCACTGCGGGCATCGAGGGCGTGGGACGGACCGCGCTCCTCCCCCGCAGCATCCCGGTGTGAGGAAACCCGGGGAGGAGCTACCTACCGTTCGCTGAAGCCATGGACTACGGCGCCTGTCACTTCACCACGCCCGCTTCCGAGGTTCTCAGCGACCAGCAGGGTTGTCCCTTTCAGCAAGGTCACTCTTGGTCCTTAACCACAGGCCATTTTAAGATTTTTTCCTTTGCGAAAATTTCACAGTAATCTCGGTCGGAATTGATCCCTCCGTGTCACGCTGGAATGTTCAATCCTCTTACCGTTCTCTTCAGATCAGTTCACCTCCACGCAATCAGAAGAGCGGSGAAGCCGCCAAAGAGGGAACGTTAGCTTTCATTTGGCAGAGAGCAAGGAGCCAATCAGGGCTCTTTTCAATGACTTCTCGAAAACGACATTTCCCGAAAATGATTTGCTGTCCAGTCCACAAGGCTCGGAGCGGCGAGCTAATCAAGGCTCTTTTCAATAATTTCTCGAAAATGATATTTCCAGAAAATAATTAGCTGTCCAGTTCACAAGACTCCGAGCGGCGAGCCAATCAAG